AAACACATTTCATTACACCAAATACACAAAATAATGTTCTTTTTAGCAACATCATATGACCCCTTTAAGAATATTCTCAGATAAAATCACATTGAATGGTTAAATTCCTATTAGGAGTTTACATTCAACACACATTTGACAATAAAGAATTTTCAAGAGAATACATTATGGTAAGGAAACGAATCGTCTTCACAACCTTAATTTAGGGTTGTGCCGGTAGACGATAGTATCGTGTATTGACGATAGTCAGAGATATCGCCTGTGGCTGATTTCTTTGACGACAGCAAGACGATTATTATTATTATTATTGTTATCCGTCAAAAATATAGGCGCCTATCTTTAGTGATGCAGCGCAGAGAGCCGCTTCAGAAACTTGCCGTGGCGTGGGTGGCGAGTAGCCGTGATCAGCTCCGGTGGCCGTGTCGGAGCCGTAACGTGCCGCAGACGTGTGCAGTCCTGTTGCTGATTTCTTTGACGACAGCAAGACGATTATTATTATTTTCCGTCAAAAATATTGGCGCCTATCTTTAGTGATGTAGTGATGATTTAGTGGTGTAAATAAGGGGTAAGAGATTTATTCATGAAACAGTGTAGGTAGCTTCACTGATTATAACGGGAGTGTTTTTAAAGAGCATATAATACTTGCACTAGACTGAAGTCAGTTATGATGTTCTTTGGTAATGTAAATATTCTTTGCTCGTTTTCTGTTTGAATAACTGTGAAAATGTAAACTCGTCGTCAAACATTTCAAGAACATTCTTCCTCTCCTGAAAGATTTGCGCACGTCTCTCCTTCAGCGCCATCACAAGCCCCTACTGGCAACTCTTAACCACTTGAGAGACCCCTCGAGCTGTCTTAAATAAATGGGAGAGTAAGAGTGATTCTTAGCTTTAAGAAATTTGATAACTTGCTTTTATACTTAAGTTTGAAAGTAGGAGTAAATTTAATGAATTCTCAGCATTTAAGACTAAAATGGCACTTTGAGAAGCTTGATAAATACGGGCCCTGGTAACTTAAACTTTAGGCATGCTGCATGTTTACGTGAAATGTCACTCCACTGTCACGTAAGAGCATTTCAGCCATCTAGTTGAAAGCCACTATCAAATTAGACCACTGTGTTTGCCATGCTAAAAACAAACAGGCAAAAACATCCAGTTTAAGATAGTTTGCTGGTCAGGCTGGTTTGTAACTCGTCAACATTTAACAGTTTTCCTGCTAGTCAGGCTACAGGATACCAGGCCAGGTTGAAGGTCTAGGTAGAGATGATTTTAACAGAATTTATAGACCTTTTTTTCATCAGGATGATGCTAGTAACTCTCAGACAGGCAGCAAAAGTTATGGTTCTACAGGTAAAAAACGTTTATAATCTGTTGAACATGTATACAACATGTTGTGGCAAACACAGTCTTTGGAATTAGCTAGCCAATAAAAACACATTACGTTAGGGAGAGATTTTGAAATAATGACAGGGTTGCCAGTGTTAGTGTAGTTCATTTCCGACTACTTTTATTTGTTGATGACAGTCCAGAATATAGGCTACTGATCTTTACTGAGATTACTATATTTACTCATGCTTAAGAATGCAGCAGTACTCATAATCTAATAATTATGTCACGAGATATTTGTCTAAATATGGGATTAGACCAGCTAACGTTTCTCTCCACATATTTCAGCAGCTGATTGAAGGCTATTGGAGATGGCGTCTGAGAAAAAGGACACCGGTGACGTTTTAAAGGAGCAGGTAATATTTCAGAGTGTGTCAGTTGGTGTCCTCCTGCTGATAGCTCAGTTTTTCATTTTTAGGGTTATTGTCATGCGCTGTTTTTTGTGTGAATACATTTGTTCATTTTGAGGGTCAGTGCTGTTTATCAGTGTGTCTATGTCCACACCAGTCGTATAGGTCATTTAAAGATATTACTAATACCTATTCACAAAAGTACGACTAGGTTTGAATTAAAAACTGAGGTAGAAAGCTAAAAAAAGAAATGTTATTGTTCAGAGTTGTGACATGTTTTTCTTTGCAGAATGTACTTCTTCGAATCCGCAATCTTCGATCTGTCAGTGCTGCTCTGGAATCCATCGAGAAGACATACATCCATACGAAGCAGTCTCATCCCATTATAAACTCTCTGTTTGGGATGTATAAGAAAGGTGTGAGTAAGGCTGGCAGCTTGGTTGTATGGAGCATTCAGCCTGCCCTCCATGTACTGGAGCCCCAGCGTAAGTGAAAGGAAGACTTCCTGAAGGAAGTCTTTATTTACAAAAAGGAACGCACACGTAGCACAGGGGATTGACGAACAATACCGGACAGGAAACAAGGGGCAGAACACACGTTATATACAGAACTAACAAGGGACTAAACGAGGGGCGACTGAAACCTATAAACATAATTAACACGAGGGAGAATCTAGGTCACAGGGGCGAACATGGAACATGTCGGGGAGGAAAACAAACACACAACAGTCCATGGGTGTGACACATATAAAGTAGATTTATTTAGTAGGCCTTTTTTATTAAATAAAAGTTTGAAACTTCATTGTTAAAGTCCTGAAATGTGACTTACTAGAGATGTTGGTATAGGTACATCACAATTTTGTCAAATTTAACTAGGCTACATTGCTTTCACTCTTTTTTTTTTTTTCTTCTTTTTTATTTAACCATGACTAGTTTGTGGAAGCTCATGTTATGGTAAATCATAATTATGAAACAATGATTAAAAAAAAAAATCAAAATTCTGAGATACTAAATCATAATTACATAATATAATTACGTAAAGTAGTAAATATTACATAAAAAGTTTGTCAGAAAACAAGTTGTATCTCGTAATTACAACTTCTATGCAGAGTTTGAATTTTTATATCAAATATGAATTTTACGTCAAATTCGATTTATCTCATAATTACAGTTTGAGGTTGTATCTCAAATTTTACCATTTTATGTCATAATTATGATTTACCAACAACTGTTATTATAAGGGCTAGTGCAAATAAAAGGATTAGCAAGTAAAATGACCAGTTTTTAGAGAATGTCTCTGTTTTTGGGACAATCAATAAGCAAATGAGTTCAAATTGATGTGAAGGAATGGCGACTGCAGTTTAGTTTCTAGTTTGGCAATAAATCAGTCTGTGGAATATAGGCAGAACAAAACAAAATGAGTAGCCTAATGTCTTATTTTTGCTTTGCAATAAAGTCTGTTTTAGTGAGACTCTGCAAAAGAAGTAATCTGGTGAGACATTAATGAGCTGTTTTGTTCTTCAAACGTGGATATTGATGCTCAAGTGGGGGAGAGTCTGTCTAGACACAGTTAGACTTGTGCGGTATTCGGTAATGCGATATATCACGGTAATGAATATGCACGATATTGTTATCGTGGGCACTTCTAAATACCGTGAATAATTATATATTACAAATTATTCAGAATTTTGAATGCATTATAAGAATACTTTTCCCATCAACATGTCAAAATGCACAACACCGCTGTATGCTGCATGAAAGACGTGCGCACTCTGACGTAAACAAGCGCGGACGAGAAGCACATGGCGGAACATGTGAGAGACGCTCTGGACGAAAGCGCACTTTCACTCTCTGACAGCAGATGGCGCTAAACTGCAGAAATAATAATAATAATAATAATAATTCATTTAAATGCAGCCGTTACCCCGGAAACCCTGTAAACAAAGCAGCTGCACTACTTTCTGTTTCTGAATCGTGTTTAAAT